GGCCCAATCAATCAAGCTAGTAAGCAATCTGGGGAGGAAGACAGTGTGACCCAAAATCAGCTAAAATGGTAGAAATGAAGAATCATTTTTGTATGGGGGGTTGTGATGTAAGCCCCAACTAGACTTTCCTCTGGCATTCACTTGTATCCCCCTGACCCTCCTTTGACTCCTATTACCCCAACCTCAATGTCTTTCATGACAGGAAGAAAAATAGCACGAGTGCTTTTTTTTCAAAATCAATCCAATTTCACAGGTTGTTATGGATTCCAGTGAATTGAACCTATAACAACTCTCAAACTTAGTATGGAATGATATATACAAGATTAGCAAAAAGAAGTGTCCTCTTTAAATGTGTCCCTTTTAAATGAAAAGTTAAAACTTTATTTAAAAATAAACTCACTTTTGATTCATGTGCAAGGAGACTGACACTGTATCAACCAGCCCCGTCACTGAGAACATTTCTAGCAACAGTCATGGGTCCAAGGAAGCCTAATGGAGAGAGGAGACTTCACATGGCGGGTCCTGCCTCCTAACCACCTTAACTTACATAATGGTATGTAGGCTATTTATCTGCAAGAAAACAAAGAGTAGAATACCTAGGTGGAAGGAACAAGTCTATTTTTGTTTAGAGAATCTTGGCTCAGCAGTAGTTCATCTTGTCTAAGTATCGTTCTCTGACACCTCTTTAAGGTTGAAAATGTCAGTTCCACCCTAGAGAATGCATTTTAATTGCATCTGTAAGAAGAGCATATAACATCTTCACCATTTGTGAATTCTCAGTGGTTTGATGGACTTCACCCAGTGTTTTATAGCCCGTTAGATCTGAGGATGACATGGAAATGCTTTTGGCATGAAGATGTTCATTGTAGGATAACATAAAACAGAAAAAACCGAGAATGACCACAGTATCCAATTATGAGGGGAATAGTTAATTAAACTATGATCATCATTGCTAAGTAGCCATTAAGTGCAGCTTATAAATATATTTTCATAAAATAGAAAAATGCTATCAAAGGCTGAATTTCAAAGGTAATATTTATAACTGCATATAGGCTCTCCAGCCCTGCCTTTGACCAGGAGGGTCCTCTAACAGTCAACCATCTGGCTACTCATCCAAGCCACACTCTCCAATAGGGGTTTTACCAGCATAAAACTGAGGCTTTGATCTACATCAGAAAAATCTGCATTTACAGTAGAACCTCAACTATGACTACAAAAATAATATCAAAAAAATTCCACAAGAAAAGGGATCAACAAGCACTTTCCAAATCTTATTTAGTGAACACATTAATTTTATTTCTAAAATAAATATATAAATAACATGTAATTTTAAAAGGCAATACAGGAATTTGCCCATATTACAGCATTCCCAGACATAAATTATATATTGTAAATTATGCATCTGCATCTAGAAAACCAAGCTGGTTTTATCTTACAAGCCAACTGCAATTGATTAGTAGCATCTGCATGAAGAAGTTGAGGTCTAATCTAAGATTAGTTTAAAAAAAAAATAGACTTGATGCCTTAGTAATGTTTGCCATTGGCTTGAAATATATATGAATTATATATATTTTCTGATCTTGCTGAAAATGTTCTACCAAAGAACAGATGTGAAAGGGGAGGTGAGTGGGGGAATGTGGTTGACAGAATAATAGCCCTCCAAAGATGAGCATGTCCTAATCCTGGAACTCATAGATATGTTATGTAGCAAAATAGCATTAAGACTGCTAATCATCTCACCTTAAGAAAAGGACATTAGGCTGGGCTCGGTGGCTCAGCCTGTCATCCCAGCACTTTGGGAGGCTGAGGCGAGTAGATTGCCTGAGCCGGCAGGTTTGAGACCAGCCCAGGCAACTTGGCGAGACCTCATCTCTACAATAAAATAAAAAATAGCCGGGTGTGGTAGCATGCGTCTGTAGTTCTAGCTACTTGGAAGGCTGAGGTGGAAGGATCGCCGGAGCCCAGCAGATCGACACTGGGGTGGCTGTGAGCATGCGTGCCACTGCACTTCAGCCTGGGCGAAGGAGTGAGACTCCAACTCAAAAAAAAAAGAAAAAGACATTAATCTGGGTTATCTGAATGGGCCCAACATAATCACAAGGGTCCTTAAAAGTGCAAGAGGAGACAGAAGTAGAGAGGCAAAGAAGGAGATGTGACAAGAGACACTATGTCACTGGTTTTTAAGATGGAGGATGTGGCCGTGGGCCAAGAAATGTACGTGGCCTCTAGAAGCCAGAAAAGGCAAAGAAGTAGATTTTCTCCTAGACCCTTCAGAAAAAAACGCAGCCCCGTCAACACTTTATTTTATCTTAGTGAGATGTGTGACAGGCTTCTAAAGCACAGAAATGTAAGGGAATAAATTTGAGTTGTCTTAGGCCACTAAACTGGTGGTAATTTGTTACAGCAGCAAAAGGAAACTAATACAGGCATGGGAGAAAGAGATGATAGTAAAAGAGTAATTACTATTGTTTGGATAAGGGTGGTTGGCATGAAGCAATTTCATTTTGTTTTGTCAGTCTCAATTAATTAAGAAACACTATCTAAACTGATATGCATTAGAAGAGTACCCTAACTTGCAGGATGAGAGAAACCAAGGTTGGAGTCACTGTTGCTCACTCAGTTCTGAATCTCATTCCCATCTACAGTACCACTCAGTAGGGAAGGAGATGAAATCCACAAGGAGCCCAAGGGAAACCAGCGTGACCTCAGTTCCAGCACAGTGCAGCAACTCCTGAGGCCCAGCCATGGACACCAACTGCATGATGGCAGGAGAAGCTAATAACTGCATACGTGAGTGATAGTTAACTAAAACTATCCCCAAATCCATTACCAAAGAGTCTACACCCTTAGAAAGAAAACCATGAGGATTTCAGGACAGAAAGACTGTTTCAGCTGTGTCTGGTTCGGAAGGGAAAATGTTCCATATTGAAAACCAAGGAATGAGTGCAAAGTCTAGTACCAGTTCTGGAATAGCCAGGAAAATAATGAACCTCCGCAGGTCTAAGTTTCTCACCTATAAATTGAGAGAGAGTTGCCTTAGGTCTCGATTCTCTAGCCCAAGAATTGCAGTACTCTACAAAGAAACACACCTATGTGCTATGAAATGTAAAATAAGGCTCTTAATTTGAATTATGTACAATATGCGTACAACACTGAAGACCCTCCTTGGTTCCAAAACTGCCACAATCCCACCAGATGACATATGGACCTACCTAAGAAACTCATGTTCAGTATAGACGCTAAAAGCAGCTACATAAACAACAGGTTGCAACACCCTTACATTTTACAAGTTAGTTTCTCCCTTTCTGCCCACAAGACCCTGGGAAGGTGTGGTGAGAAAAGTCCAGGACTAGGAGAGAGAGAACGGCATCTAAGCGTTGGCTTTTTCCTTTCCTGGATACTGAAAGCATATAAGCCCCTAACCCCTCTGAATCACTTAGCTTCTTCAACTACAAGAGGAGGAACCATGGGAATTCACCTCTCACGAGACTGGTCTGATTATAAGATGAGCTTGCCAATGGGGAAGGTCCTCGACACCTCTGAGGTGGTGAATGCAAGTCAGTCAATATCATCATGGTGACTGAAATCTGTGGACATGGGCAGGGCAAAAAAGACTAACAAATGATCAGTTAACTTCTCTGAAGTTCAATTTCTTCATCTATCGAAGAGGAAGGGTAATGTGGATTGTGGCAGTAGATCAAATGGTTGGACATGAAGATCCTCCCACGGTGCCAGCACACAGTAAATGCTCGATAAATGCAAGCTAGGGGTGTGCTGATATAGGATCCACCACCCCACTCCCACTTTTTTTATATGCCTTACTGAAAATCACAGAATGTCCTGAGTGCTCTGTGACCCAGCCAGGTTTCCACAGCAGGTTTGAACCAAAATTGCGGCCTTGAACGTTCCCAGGCACTGATAAAGGTATCTAGGCTGTCACCCAAAACAATGAAAGAAACGGGTCCCGGTCCTGAAGCAAACCACTTAAACTTTCATAACACTCCATACCCTGAACCCCTTGCTGCAGACATACCTAGACAGAACACCCCTTTACTCCCACTGTTCATATCCAGAGTTGCTGCAGCCCTCTGAAAGAACTTTACCCCGAATGCTCTGGACTGATCACCCTAGCGTTCAATTTTTCTTTGGAATCTTAACCAGTCCCATCTCAGGACAGTTTGGGGCATTGCCTCATGGAAACTTCTCTGCCACCGCTTTTAGGGTGATTCCAGCTGCTAGTTCAGTGGGACCAAACAGTAGGCCAGGAGTCCCTCCCACATTCTATGATTCTCTGGGATTCAGTGGTCGAAACAATTTCAAAAACCATTTTGAAGCAACACAACTGCAAATCTTCATGATTCTATGTGTCTATGTCATGAGTAGCAACGGCAGCAGCGATTTGAAGGGTCAAGTTGCCCCAAGTGTTGAGCAACTTATTGGACCACAGTTCTTGTTGTCAATAACTGTAGCATAAGCAGAGCCTGAGTGAATATTGTCACCTACACTGAAGAAACATCAATCAGGGGCATTAAAACACAGACAGCCATCATGTCCTGGGTCCCTGTTACATGCTGGGCACTGTGGCAATTCCGAAGCACAATCTCCTGCTCTCACACCTGCCTGTCAGGGAGGCTTCATCACTCCTGGCTCATCACATGATTCATCTGCAGTAATCCTGGAGCTAAAAGGAAAAACACACATCCCCAAAGCCTGCACCTCTTCCTCTAACTCACTCCAGTGTCTTTATGGTAAGATCATGCCTTCTCTTCTTTCTGCATCCTCTTGCACATCCTTGGCTTGGTATCCAAAGTAGAGAGAAATGGAAAGAGAAAGCCCAAAGTAAACTGAACTATGCCTCAGCCTCTATGTGTACCAGCTAAGGGGGCCCAAAAGTGGAGATAATGCCAAAGAGTAGCAAACGGATGTTCTCCCCATCCCCATTTTGAAGAGTGACGCACTTCCAGGTTGGACATCAGCCTCCACCTCCGGAGTCCCCTTACCTTGAAGGAGACATGCTGCTCCATGTGCCGCAGCAGCTGTGGCTTCTGGGCCGCCGTGTAGTCACACACCGTGCACTTAAACTGCTTCCCTGGAAAGAAGCGGAGGACAAGGTGAGCGTCACCAGGCCAAGAGCTCCGGCTGTAAATGAAGTGCCAGGCGTGGAGCCGGGTTACACCGAGGTGTCCCTTACCATGTGAGAGTCCAGAATCTCAGAAGGGAACAGAAAAGAGGTGCACAGGGCAGTGTGCTCAATCTTCCACGGGTGGGAGTGGACGGGGTGGGGGGGGACAGGAAGGGCCAGCTCTGCCTGGAGAGGCCCCATGAGCAATGACACTCGAGCTCCTGGAAAAAGAGTAAGGATGTGCCCAGCCGTCTAGAGAGAAGGACATCGAGGGAGAGGAGTGCACACAGGTGAAGCCACAGCGGAATGGACCACAGGGTGGCCAGAAATGCAGAGCAGCTGGATCTTCCTCCCAGAACCTGGAGTGTGAGCTCTGTAGAAAGCCAAGAGCTGAATGAGGTAGGTGGCTGGCCCAGAATATCAAGGGCTTGGAGCCTCTCAGTAATGACCTCGGGCGTGCGTGATCCTGAGAGCCAGGCGAATCTACAAGATGGCAGTCAGCAAGGAGCAAGGTCTGTGTTGTAGAACTCCCAACACTGGCAGGAGGGCAAAGGCATTTTTGAGAGAATGCTAGAAAGAAAACTAGGGAGATGCAAAACACTGCTCTGTTAAAAAGATTAAGGTTTTAGCAATATGTAAACATCCAATAATGGGGTGAACAGGCCCACATGTTAAAACAAGTTAATAGACATCTTGGGCACACTAAATTTTTGCCCCTAATTAGCACAAATAAAACCTCTAATAATACAAACATGTGCAACCAAATATAAATATGACCAACTTCTCGTAGCTCTAAATTGTTCAACAAGCAGCTTCTAATGGTTTAAATCTCCTTAGGGCGCCACGCTCACTGCCAGTGTGACTTGGTTCCCCAGAAACACTGGCCCCTTCTGGAGTGCTCTGGCACCCTTCCCTCTCAGACACTCTCCCCTTCCTCTATTCTCCACTAGCTCCTTTTCTCACTGAGGGAAGCAATGAACTCCATAATGCCAAGCCAATGGTGGACTTTGGCCCTCATTTTACTAGATGATTCCAATGTGACTCTGCTAATAGTCCATGCTTTGGAAATAAATCTTCTGTTCCTTTGACTCTACAACACTACTGCCTCTCTCTTCACCTGAGTATCCCTCAGGCATTCCCTCCCATCAACCATCTCTGATGCCCGAATGTCACAAATGTTCCAGCCCGCACTCCTGTCCTCATTCTACAAGCATCCTTGCATATAACTGTCCCCTTTGGGCTTTGGTAAACCTTTGATGCCAAAATCTGCATCTTCTACCTCTGATCTCTTCCCTGAACCTGAGACTTGAGCACCCAACTGTCCACTGGACAAGCCACTTAGCAGTCCCAAATGTCCTCAGCTGGACTCATCATTTTCCTCGCCAAAAAGTTTCCCCCTCCAGCCTTCCCAGTTTATCACCAATCAGATCACCTGAGTCAGATGCCCTGTAGCCTTCAACATCTTTATGCCCTTAACTTTCATCACCTCGTTGTTTCCAGCACCTGATTTACTCTCCTAACTATTTCTCATGTCTGTCTATTTCTCCCTATTTCTAATGCCTCCACCCTGGTTAAACTGATATCCTGCCTTCATGAAACCCTCCCATCCATCCATCTACCATCCATCCATCCATTATCCAACCATCCATCCATCTATAATGTAACATCTATCCATCCATTATTCACTCGTCCATCCATCCGTACTGATGCTTCATCCTCTGTACAGATGATCCCACTGTCTTTCTTGCATAACTCACCAGTGACCCCAACTGTAGAACAAAGTCGATGTTCTACAGCACAGCACAGCACAGCACAGAAGTTCCTCCAGAATCAGAACTAACTCCTACCCCGTTCCTCTCTGACTTCCTCTTGTGCCTATCCCCTCTGTATTTAGACTTTGTAACACTGAACTCACTGAGCTTTCAGAGCTTTCTGCCTTGCCTCTGCAACCTCGGACTCCAATGCTTTGCTAACATTTTCCATTCCTGGGATGCACGGCCTCTCAGCATCTGGCCACGTTTTCTTTACTCAAGACTGAAGTTGAACAACAACTCCAGTAACTGGCCCAAGAGTCAGTCCTCTGCAGGCCCCCCTACATGCTGTCCACAGTTTTCAATCCATGTCACATTGTGACTGACGCCTACAAGTCAGGGGCTGCTTTCAGCGACCCATAGGCAGGGACCACGTCTCACTCATCTTGCATACAGACTGAACATATGCCATGCATTTCATTAAACTGAACTGAGCCAGAAACAAACAAAAGTTTGTACTTCTTACATGAACAACACTCTCAATAAGAACAACAAAAGGAAACAAGTCACATCATTCTATTAATACTGTGCTTGTACTTGTTATTCCAGGTGAATGAACTCCAAATCCTAAATTTTATTAATTCTGCAAGCCCAAAGTGTGAGCAATTTTTTTTCACTTGTAAGGCAGACAGTTATAATTAGAAAGCAATTAAATCTTAAAAAAACAACAAAAATAGCACCATCTTTTTTCAAACAGAGGTCCACAAATCTTCCCATCTTCAGTTTCCTCTCAGCTATACGTACTTTTTCACTAATATAGGATTTGTGTGAATATACCATCATTGTACCAGGCGGCCTGGGCAAAAGTGTGTTGGGCTCTTCAGTATCATGGCGGGGGGAGGAGAGCTAAGGGAACTATCCTCTGAGTTAATAAACATTTTGACACTCATTACCAAACACTTGGATCAAAGAGTAAAAGATTAAGTGCTAAAAAGGAGCCCTGAAATGAGTAAATGGAAGTGCCTTGTTTGAAATCAAGAGTCAGCCTTTTATAGATGTACTTCCAAGGCTCTGCGAGAGACAGGGAAAGAAGGCAGCTTCTAAAAGTCATCCCTTATTGAGGCATCAGAGTCCTGGCAATAAATAGTACAAATGTTCCCAGCAACCACTGACAGCCCCTATCAAACAGGCCTGGGAGAGCACTTGACATGATCTTTTGCTGCCTAATTAAAATAATGGGATGCAGATTCATGACTAATCATAAAAGAGCAATGCTCTGAGACCAACAGATTGTTTTCTACAAAGAGACTCTTGAGAATTACAGGCTGAGTTGACTGGAAAACCTAGTATTTACTCGAGGTTAGATTGACCTCAAAGGGCTGGTAGATGAACATCAAATGGCTGCCTGTGGATGCAAATCACCCAGCATTCCTGGACAAGAAAAGAACAATTACAAAGAAAAAAAGGAGGTGGGCTTTTAAAAATTTAATTCCGTTTCTCCAAAACATACCTGGCTAATTCTACCTACTGGACTACTAGGTGTCATGAGCTGTACTAGGACGTGATATGCTCAATCTCACTGTGTCCAAATGGTCTGGGAAGCAGGCAGTGCTACCTTTTTATGTTTGAGCAACTGGGATCAAGAGTCTGAGTAACTTATCAGGTCACGGAATGTTAAGTGGCAGAGCCCAGATTTTAACCCAGTCTGTTGATCCTGATAACCCCATTCACTGCCACATAAAAATCCTTTCAGGGTGTGACACAATTTCCCCAAAGGGAACAAAAAATTTATACCAATGATGGGCATCTCTGTACCATGCATACATAAAGGTGGCTTGTCCCATGGGATGGCTGCCCATTAGACAGGGCCACCCAAGCAGGGCTGGTGGCAGGGGAAGTGTGTTCTCTTTCTGGCTCCATCTACCTTACCCTCCGTGACCCTAGCCTTGCTGCTACTCAGAGGCCCTAATAGAAAAATCCTTAAACTTTGAGAGGCTGAGGTGGGACAACTGCTTGAGTTCAAACTTCGAGACCAGCGTGGGCAACAAAGTGAGACACTGCCTCTGCAAAAAGTACAAAAATTAGACAGGTGTGGTGGTGCATACCTGTAGTCCCAGTTACTCAGGAGGCTGAGGCAAAAGGATAACCTGAGCCCAGGAGATCAAGGCTGCAGAACAGAATGATCATGCCACTGCACTCCAGCCTGGGCAACAGAGTGAGACACCAACTCTAAAAAAAACAAAGGCAGGGGGAGATAACCCCTCTCTGCTGCAAAGATGAACTCAGGCAATGGGCCTGCAAGCAACTAAAAAGTATCCTCTGAGAAATGAGGCTGAAGGTGCAAACAGGTGACCCCACAGAGGGCCCTTCATCACAGCCACTCAGGAGAGCCACAGGCAGCATCTCCAGCCCTGCTGCCTTAACCTCCCTGACACTCTCTGAGATCATCCAAGGATGCAGTTCTAATCAAACCAATCTAAAACAATACACCTAAAATAAACATTTAAAAAAAGAACAGAGCAGGAGAAAATGCTTATGAAATTATGTTAAAGTGGAGGCAGTTATGGTATCGGAGTATGAAAGTCTCCTGCTCCTATTCCCAGTAGCCTCGCTGGCCTCATCTCCACCCAGAGAAAAAGCCAGAACCTTCCCAATAGCTGCAGGCCCTCTGGGGTGTGGCTTCCTGTCACCTCTCTGAGTTCCTACTCTACCCTCCCCTCTCCCCACTCCATGGACGCAGCCCACCTACCCATCTCCAGGCCTTTGTCCCTGCTGTTCCCGGCGCCTGGATGCCCGTCCCAGATATCCCCATGCCTGCCTGTCTCATCTCGCTTAAGTCTTCCTTCGAATATCCCTGTCTCACCAAATCCTTCCAGACAACCCTACTTAAAATCACAGTCCCCATCTCCCTTTATGGATTCATTTTTAGCATTTCTCATCTTATAATACTTTCATATTAAAATGGAACAATTTCTTATTAATATTTTCACTTTCATATCTCACTTTTGTCAGTATTGGAGATTTCATATTTTCATTGCAATATACTGCATGATTGACTGTGTTTATCACCTGTCCCATTCCTGAGAATTTTAACCTCATAACAATGGAGGCTTTTGGTTTTGCTTTGGTTGTAGTCTGTGTTGCCCACTGCTGTATCCGAAACACCTAGTCGCCAAGGCAGTTCATGGATTCACCCTTGGTTGGCCCACCTGGCAC